ACGGAAACGGAGAAGGCACGGAACACTGAAAATACCGATACACAACACATGCGAATCTGCAAATAAAAACCTCGGATTTTTCTACGGAAGGCACTGTAAAAATCGATGTGAAACCCGAATCGCAGATCTTTTGTTCAAACTGCAACGTGCAAAAACTCGAGTTCTGGCACATTGCAGTTCCGAAATCGACACACCCTTCGCGGCGGCACATGCGCCACGGGCCAACAACAACAACAACAACAACAACAACAACAACAACAGCAACAGCAACAGCAACAGCAACAACAGCAACAACAGCAACAACAGCAACAACAGCAACAACAGCAACAAAAGCAACAAAAGCAACAACAACAACAACAACAACAACAACAACAACAACAACAACTGCAACTGCAACTGCAACTGCAACTGCAACTGCAACTGCAACTGCAACTGCAACTGCAACTGCAACTGCAACTGCAGCAAACACAGCAAAAACCAACATGAGCCCATGCAGGATGCGTAGCGAAACAAGAAATGCAGCATAAGCTAACACAGGGGGAAACTCATCCTAGCCGAAAGACGCAATGGCAGCAAGTGTGAGATATTGACACCTCACGCTAGCTTGACGCACTTTCCGCAATTCCCAAAGCACGGTCTCGGAACGCTGCGCTTGCTCTGGGATCTGCGTGCGGAGGACGCGAAGGCGAACTTGAGCCTGGGTTCAAGAGGCAGCTCAAAAGGAACTGCAGCTTTGACGATTCTTTCAGCACTTGTCATCGAATTTTGGTATGCTGCTGTCAACATGACAACGATTCTGGTTGTGACTTTGATGTCTTCTGGCGGTGATGCCTTGGCACCCTACGATTGCGGTAACGACAACGACCATTCTGACGCCAGCGATAATGATTGAAAAGGACGGGCTGTCACTGTCACTGGCCACATTGCGACATGTATCAACATTGTTTGCGAAGGTTGGCCTGAAGGCCGGAAAGGGCTGCAAAACCCCCGAACCTGGAATGGGCAACTCTCAGAGTCTTGGGCAGATAACATCAAGCTCTCAGCCGCTCGCGGCTGAAAAGCATCCCTCGGCCGGCCAGCGCCTAGAGTTTCGCAAGTCGGGCCAGGGGCAATTCTCCAAGAGCTTTGGATCGAAGATGAACGAAGGATCATCCGGCATTCTTGTCTGAGGGAAGCCTCAATAGAAACGGATCCAGCAGACGGGCGCTGACTCTTACTTTGACAAATTTGGTCGTAGGGGCTCGCATTTGTCTTCTGCAAGAGGCTTCTTCAGTCTCTGCCCTCACAACCCTCCGATTCCTGCAATTTTGAAAACTCCGACTAGCCCTGGAGTCTTCAACCCGGATGAAGGTCATGACATGCCATCAGCCTGCTTCCGCAGTTCTGGGCCTAAACTAGCTCAGCACTACTCAGGCCTGAAAGCCGAAGCCCAGCATGACGCCGAAGCTAAGCCCGAAACTCAACTAAACAAGCGCCACCAGGCACGATTCTTGGAAACCGGCGCAAAGGTTACCAAGGCAGCCGCAATGACTGTGGCCCGACCTCAGTCTCGGAATGCCCGTACATTCCAGCTCGAGAAGACATTGCATGCCCAACGCCCCAGGACCGCATTCCATTTTCTCTTCTCTTTGAACTGGCAGCTCGGCTGCAACCAACGACTCTTTGAAAGGCGAGAGCCAGCATGAAACTGATTGTTTCCAGCTGCCCAGCTACTCAGAGGATCGAACCGACCCGTCGGGCGTCACAAATCCCGACCACACAACACCTGTCCCAAACCTGAAACTTGCCTTGGCGAACAAAGAACAACGAAGAGCCAAGGACGCAAACGGAAGATTGAGCAGCCTCAATCTTCTGGAATGTACATGCGCACATGAGCACTGGAGTTCTGCCGCGGCTTAGGATCCCGATTCTCGAACATGGAGGCATAGTTCAACGAGACTTTGTCACTTCGGGGGGTCCTAAGGTCACGATTTTCCCTTTGCCCATTGGGCAGGCTGACGGTTCGCAGCACTCATGCACGTTGGGCCACGTCTGAATGATGGCAGTTATTCAGAAATTCAATTTCGCAGTTCTGAAACTCACAAAAAAACGGAACCTGAAGAAACGCGACGTTGTGAACAGGTAATGATATCAGAACTGCGCAAGCAACCGCGCAACACAGGATCACCACCAAACTCAAATGGTTCTGGCGATCTCCTGTGGACCCCCACCGCAACTTGCCTAAACGGCATGCATCTAAGGCGTGTAGAGGTTGCAAGACTGAGCCTCCCAGATGCTTCTTGTGACGTTCGCAGGCTTAGTTGCAAAGCTAGTGCCGTAAGAAAGCTCATGGACACAGTCATTGTGCGCTACGAACAGCATTTGGCAGAACTTGCTGAACCCTCATAATTGCTTCTGCCTCTAATTGAACCGACTGTCTATTACCCTTTGTGCCTCTCTCTCTCTCTCGCTCTCTCTCGCTCTCTCTCGCTCGCGCTCGCGCTCGCGCTCGCG